TGGACGGCCTGCCGGGTGGGAGGAGAACGGGGCAAAGTTAGGTGTCTCCAGTGCACGGCTTTGGAAGCCAGCCTTGCTTTTCCTAGGATTTAAAAGCCTCTCTCTCTCTTCTGAAAGGAGGGGGCAGAGCTGTCCCCATGCATACAAACCCCTACATGGCAAGTGTAATTAGATGCAATTAAAATGAAAATACCTTCATCCAGAAGCCAGCCTTGCTTTTCCTAGGATTTAAAAGCCTCTCTCTCTCTTCTGAAAGGAGGGGGCAGAGCTGTCCCCCTGCATACAAACCCCTACATGGCAAGTGTAATTAGATGCAATTAAAATGAAAATACCTTCATCTTCAAATCGGTTTCCCTCACTGCTCCCTTCTCCCCGGCCCACTCCCAGCGCCGCCCCCCACTTTCTCTCCGGCCCCAGCCGCAAAAAAAAAAAAAACGGAATTAATGCCTTGTACGGCCTAACTTCCCTCTGCCGGGAGGGCCTGCAATAAATTACATGTGATTGGCCACATACAAAGGGATCGCTGTTCTGCGAGCGGGGAGCCAGCCTGTCAGATTGTCTCCACGAGCAGTCACGAATCCGGGGCAAAACTGCAGCTGACATTTAATTCAAAAATCAAAGGTTGTTCCACGTAGGGGGAAAAAAGCCATGCTACTCTAATAAGGGGAGCCAGCAGGAGGCTCTGTGGGAAGGAAGGGAATTTTGAAGTCAGCCCGTTTGTAATAAGCACATACAGTATCGTCAACAGATAATTAAAGAGCTCTTATTACATTTTATGTAAACTGAGCAAAATATGGCAGAAGCCTTGTCAAAACACGACTTTTCAAGTGCAGAGCACCGACTTTACAGAAAGCCCTGGGCACTTGTCTCAAACCGAAGCTGTAGTTCTATCAGCCACCGGTGGCCACAGACCACCAAGACCACCATGGGTCACACCCGTGTGTATACGAGGACTCCAGACACAGACAGGAGGAGAGATGTGCTGGGAAGTACCGGCCCCCAACAGAGGGAAGGCAGGCGTCAGCACCCTGGTGTCCTGGGGTGGGGGTTCTCGCCCCCTGGGGCAGTGCCGGTGGGCTGCGGGGCTACCTGGTCTTTGAGGTGCGTCTCGGTGCAGTATTTCCATTGCTGAAACACGTCAGACAGCTTGTCCAGGCCGCCGTGGTGGAAGTGGAAGACCTTGTACTGGCTCTCTCTGCTGGCGACAACCAGCTGGCCGCTGGTGCAGGCCTCGTCGCTGAAGGGCCGTGGGGGGCAGGGGCGTGGGGGGAGAAGCCCGATGAATATGTAAACACGAGTTTTTATTTCCAAGTATAATCAGAGGTCACTATCACCCACCTCAGAGGAGGCAGGAAATGGTAAGTCCCGGTGGAGTTTGGCTGCTGGCAGGAGGGGACAGAATTACACCCGAATAGAAACTGTCACCCCTTCTGCAGAGGAAGCCAAAATATCTCCCTCTTGGGTAGTCCTGCAGCTCCTCTCTGCAGACCTGCTGAGCAGCCTTCACCCACTACTGCCTGCCTGGCCATGTTGTCTCTTCTGTCCAGGAGGCCAGGGGCAGACGCTGAGTGCTTGTGTTAGTGGGAACCCGAATTCAAACGCCGGTGGGGCGGACGCTAAGGGGACCTCCTCAGAGCAGACCCCTCCATTCCGCCTGGATGGCACTCTGGGAGAGCCCTCCAGGGAAACGCACTAAACATCCGTCCATGCTTGACAGCCCAGCCATGGCTGCCCTTAGGTGAAAGGCTGGGCTGTGGCTCTGGATCTGGGACCCCCTCCACCGACGTGTGGCTGCTCCTGAGCACAGGCTTTTCACTGGTGCTCTCTTGGGCCTGGGCCACCCAGACTATAAGGAGGAGAGATTTGATGTGGGAAACTACAGGCGGGAAACTAGGGATCATCTACCCATTACAAAAGAAAGGGATCGGAAAGCCACAGCCTTGCTGAGCACGCGTGGCCAGGCTGCAGGGCTTCTCTGTGGACAATCAGAGCGGCCTGCACGGCTACTCTGCAGAGTCCTGGGGTGGTTTCTTCTCCCGAGCCAGAGTTCCAAGTAACAGCTGGCTACCATCACTCTGAAGGCAGAGAACTGTTTTTAGTAGCTAACCCCAGCCCGATTACTGCGGGGGTGCCACAGCAGAACCCTACTGCTGACGAGGTGCATGACAGAGGGAAGCAAACATTTGAAAATACCAGCATTAGCAGGACCAGCCAGGGCCCCACATCCCGATGCCCCGGCTGCCAGGAAAGGTCAACCTCCAGGAAGTGGCCAAGAGATGGCTCTCACCTGAAAAAGAGGCGCAGGGAGCGCATGTGCCCCAGGTCCACACGGAACACGCCACAGATCTGCTCCAGGGCACATGCCCGCTGTGGCTCGTCCCAGCGCGGGGTCTGCAAGAGGCTGTTGCTGTCCGGGAAGCGCAGGTTGGTGTCCGAGCTGGAGGGGGAGCTGGTGGAGCAGGTCATGTGATGGCAACACATTTCTCTGCCCATGCCAGCCAAGGGGAGGGACAGGGAGGGACGGGGAGGGGTAGGGAGGGCATGGGCGAAACCATTTAAACGTCCACTTCAAGCTTAAACACACACACTCACAGATAAGACCGAACACACCTTGCATGTAGCAGGCTCCCCATAAGCACCTATGAACAAATGAATGAATGAGTCCCACTACTAGTCATGGGCAACTACGTTTTGATTTGGATGGGAAAGCATTTTCATGATCAAATTCCGTTCCACTTCAATAGGGGTTGTAAGTTGTCATGACAGATGGGGTCACACTGGGGTTCCGATCCTTACTGTGTGCCCTCAGGCAAGTTACCAACCCTCTCTGAGCTTTGTTTCCTCATTTATAAAGTGAGGATAATAAGGCTCTGTGTAGAATAAATGACTGTAAAGTGCTCGGCACTGGGCCTGGTCCTCAGGGTTTCCTAGGGGTAGCTGTTTTGTGACAATTTTAGACAGTATGGGGCTTCTGCTTGGAAGCGTTTACTACATTCCTGAAAAAATATTGGTTGGGTTTATGGTTTGGTAAGGAAACCTTCGGGTTACTAATACTATTAACAATACTGAGCATTTATTAAAACACTTAGAATGGGCCTGGCCCTGGGTTAACTGCTTCTCATGTGCCATTATCACATATAATCCTCTCGATAATCCTGTGAGTACTGGTGTCACCCCATTGTACAGAAGAGGACACCAAGGCCCAGAGGTTAAGAGCCTTGCCCGAGGTCACACAGGGAGCAGGTGGTACAGCTGTCATCAAAGCCCCGGTCTGCGGCCCACGTTCTCAGCAGCACGTTTTACAGCCTCCACGTCTGCAGTCCAGCAACCCAACCCCATCTATTCTGCTTTTTAAAAAAATTCATGAATGTGTTACATTCCTCACTGTAAAATATTTTATTACACGGATTCAGCCACACCGCAGGTTAAATTCTTGAGATTTAATAGTAATGTCTAGCAAATGCCTGCTAAAATATAATCAGAGTAGAGGCAAGATTCGGTCTGGGCCCCCATCCCCCGCCCCGCAGCATCCTGCAGGACCCGCTGCAGCCGCCTCAGGCTGCTTTTCTGATGGAGCCCAGAACGTAAAAGCGCCTCTTCCTCACGTGGGCACCAGGTCTCTGAAAAAAGCTACTTTGGATGGCTCCAGCACAATCTCTCCTAACCCAGAACGTCCTCAAAGAGAAAGACGGGCCTTTGTGGAACCCTTGGCTGCTTCTAGAACAATCTGGGCCTGATGTGTGGGATGTGGGTTTTCTTCCCTACCTGCTGAAGGAAGTGGACTGGCTGAGCCAGGTCCTCCCGTTTCTGGGGGGCACCTGGACTCTTTGAGGAGAAAGGCTCAGGTACCACTAGATAGCAGATAGGCAGGCAGGCAGGTAGATAACTTGAACCACCACGGCCACACAGCAAGCGAGGCCCCAAAATCCTGAGGGTCCTCCCAAGCCTTCCCCAGTGGACCCTTGACCTGGCTGCGCTGCGCAGGCAGGCAGGTAGATAACTTGAACCACCACGGCCACACAGCAAGCGAAGCCCCAAAATCCTGAGGGTCCTCCCAAGCCTTCCCCAGTGGACCCTTGACCTGGCTGCGCTGTGAAATCACTGGCCATAAAACAAGGCCAGCCGCACGTCTGAAGAAGACCCCTGGCACACCACCTATGCAGCCTTTCATAATCTGCTTATTGAAAAGGAGGCCACGGTGGCCGGGAGGGCTTGTGCTCGGCCAGCTTCCTGGGCAGCCCATCCCCGGTCCCCTCCAATCCCGCCAGAGAGGGGCCACCAAAGGGTGGCATTACTTCCAGCCCCCAATCCTTCTCACCACCCCACCAGACACACCCAGCATGATCCTCTAAAACTTGTACAGCCTCCTGCACCTTGTGTCCCACTCACCCTGTGGGGCAGGCCGAGGTGTCCAGAAACCAGAGAGAAGAGGGAGACTCACTCGGGCAGAGTCATGGGCGGAAGGCCTCTGCTCCGCTGCTGGAACCTATTTCAGACCAGGAAAGAGCCCCAGAGAGACAGACCACCCCTCACCTTCCCCCCAGCAACGTGCCTCCGGGCAGAAGTCTGCTTAAACCCTTTTACAACTCCTTAGGGGCAAATTATTTGCATTAATTAACTGGTTGATTCATTAATTCAAGACACTAGGCTTGGGACCTACAGCTGGGGTTCCACAGGTTCAAACTGGAACGATGACAGGAGCCTCGGTTCTCTGTTTACCTGGGGCCCTTCTGAGCAGAGGCCACCAGTGTGGTCATGTGGGACTATGTCTCTGCTTCGAGACTGGCTGCCATGGGGTCAGGGCTGTATCATCCCCAGCTCGCAGCACTGTCTTGGCACAGCACACAGTCATGTAACACCCATGCCTAGAATGAAAATGTAAAAGTTCTGGGAATTTTGAACTCATAGAAAAATAATTTTAAAGGAAATAAAATCTGGGGAAAATTAAAATATGTACAGTTTTTAAAATTTTTATTATCTTTCTACACTTGTAAAGCAATTGAATTTTAAGAATATTCATATGTGCTTCAAATAATTTGGTTTGTTCATCAAATTATCGTGTGTGATGCATTAAAATTAAGAGGATGTTTTATTCAGGTAATAATTCCCAAAATGCTATTAGTTAAAAATGTTTTATAGGGGCCGACCCGGTGGCGCACTGGATAGTGCGCCGCTTGGGAAGCGTGGTGGCGCTGCCGCCCGAGGGTTCGGATCCCACATGCAGACCGGTTCCCGCTCACTGGCTGAGCGAGGCGTGGGAGCAACACTGAGGGTTGCGATCCGTTGCCGGACACGGAAAAAGACAAAAAGACAAAAAAAAAAAAATGTTTTATAGATAGAGCTATAAGATGCTAAACTTTAAGAAATGTAGCATGTCTTCATTTCTATCATTTTCTGAGGATCTCCAACATGCAAAAGCAGATAGGAAAAAGAGAAGTTGGCAATATTGCAGCATACAAGGAAAGTCAGTTCTTTCTCCACGTAGTAAACGAGGCAACGTCAGATACACAGTTGGAAATTAAAAACAGCCTGAAATCCTCTGCAGCTCGTCCTGTCGAGAGTGGCATCTGTCTCCCTGCCTCAGATCTGGATGGGCCTTGCTGTGACTGATAGAACGTGGCAGCAGTATTGTGTGAGCTGCAGGGCCTGAGCCTCAAGAAGCCCAGCAGCTCCTGCACCCTCCCCTCAGTGCAGCTCAGGCAGGAAGGACAGAGACCATGAGAGACAGACCCTCGGCTGACAGCACCAGAGCCCCGACACGTGTGAGCACTGGCCATTTCAGCACCCTCGTGTGTGAGCATCACCGTGGAGCCTCCAAGTGTCTGCAGCCACCTGAATGAGACCCAGAGAGCCCCCAGAACAGCCTGTCCACACCTAGCCCAGAGTGAAGATCTGCGAGCACAGAAAGGCAGCTGTTTTAAGCTGCTCAGTCTGGGGGTTGTTTGTTATGCGGCCATAGGCAACTGATACACACAGGAAGTGTCTGTTTTCAGAAAATGCTTGAGAGGGTAGGAGGGAGCTTCCAAACATATTGAGTTGTGATTCTCAACGTCAAAGAGACACTGGGGCCAGATTTTAACTTTATTTAAAATATCCACACCTCTAAATTTGCTCTTGCTTTTCTTCATCCCGAGCCTTTTGATTCTGCTGAATGAAAAGTCAATGGAACCCCAGCTGGAGATCGCAAGCCTAGTGTCCTGAATTAATGAATCAATCAGTTAATTAATTAATGCAAATAATTTGCCCTAAGGAGTTGTAAAAGGGTTTAAGTAGACTTCTGCCTGGAGGCATCTTGCTGGATGGAAGGGTGGGGTGTCCTCTCACTCCGGGACTCTTTCTTGGTTGGAAATGACTCATTCCCCTGCAGGAGTCCAGTGTTCTCTGGCTCCAGCAGCAGAGCAGGGGGTCTTCTGCCCAAGACTCTGCCAGAGTGAGTCTCCGTCTTCTCCCTGCTTTCATGGCCTGCCCCATAGGGTGAGCCAGGGTGCTGAGAGGGGTGTGCCGTTCTGGAGGATCATGCTGGGTGTGTCTGGTGTGGTGGTGAGAAGGATGAGGGGGTGCTGGAAGTAATGCCACCCTTGAGTGGCCCCTCATAATTGCCAGAACTTGGAAGCGACCAAGATGTCCTTTGGTAGGTGACTAGATAAACTGCAGTACACCCAGACAATGGAATATCATCCATCGCTAAAAAGAAATGAGCTATTAAGCCATGAAAAGACACGGAAGAACTTTAAATACATATTACTAAGTGAAAGAAGCCAGTCTGAAGAGGCTACATACAGTATGACGCCAACCATATGACACTGTGCAAAAGGCAAAGCTAGGGGCCGGCCCGGTGGTGCACCGCTACAGTGCGCCGCTTGAGAGTGCAGCAGCGCTCCCGCCGAGGGTTCGGATCTCACATACAGACCGGTTCCCACTCACTGGCTGAGCGAGGTGTGGGCGCAACACCGAGGGTTGCGATCCCGTTGCCGGTCCTGGTCCAGTACGGGCGCGACACTGAGGGTTGCGGTCCGTTGCCGGACATGAAAAAAGACAAAAAGGAAAAAAAAAAGGCAAAGCTATGGAGACAGTAGAAAGATCAGTGGTTGCCAGGAGTTAGTGGGGAGGGAGGAAAAGGATGGGTGGAGCACGCAGCATTTTCAGAGCAATTTCAGACGTGGATACACGTCGTTATACATCTGCCCAAAACCATTGAACGTACGACACCGAGAGTCAACCCTAATTTAAACTGTGGACTTTGGGTGATAATGACGTGCCAGTGAAGGTTCCTCGATGGTAACAAATGCACCCATTCAGCAGAGGATGTTGACAAGGGGAGACTGAGTGTGCGGGGACAGGGGTACGGAGAATGCGCTGTACTTTCTGCTCAATATGGCTATGAACCTAAAACGGCTCTAAAAAATTAAGTCTGTTTTTAAAAAACCAACAAAACAAAATGAAAAGCCA